CAAAAAAGATGCCACAACGTCATTTGAAAATAAAGTTAATAAATGTCTCAAAGAACTTCTAATGAAGAAACTAATCAACAGCAAAACATACAATAAACTGAAATCAAAAGGTGGACGCCTGCCGTCTATGTACGGCCTACCAAAAATTCATAAAGCAAATGTGCCATTAAGACCAATCCTGTCAATGATTGACTCACCATGCCACAAGCTAGCTTGATGGTTAGCTGATTCTATAGAGCCCATTCGAATTAAATTTGCAACCCACAGCCTGAAGGATAGTTATCAATTTTCCAAGGAAGTTGACAATATCGACATATCAGAGAAACTCATGGTATCGTATGACGTGACCTCCTTGTTTACAAATGTACCACTGATGGAAACAATTGATATAATTTGTAAACAAACGGATCTACTACCATTACCGGAAACAGAGATGAAGCGACTTCTACTGCTCTGCACAAAAGATATACAATTCAAATTCAACAATCAACTTTACTGACAAATCGATGGGGTCGCAATAGGTTCGCCTCTGGGACCTATCCTGGCTGATATTTTCACTGGCTACCTTGAGCAGACACAACTCAGTTCTGCTATCAATGGAACTACCTACTATCGCCGATATGTTGATGACACATTTGTTGTTTGCAACAATATGGATCACGCATCAGCATTATATGATCGCCTAAATGAGAAACATCCAAATATCAAATTCACCATAGAATATCAAATCAATAATGAGTTCAATTTCCTGGATCTAAATGTAAAAAGAACAAACGAAGGCATGGTCAAAAAGTCTATCTATAGAAAAGAAACCTGGACTGGACAATATCTTCACTATAACAGCTTTTGTCCCATAAGCTATAAACGTGGATTAGTAGGGACTTTGCACGACAGAGCCAGGAAGCTATGTTCACCAAACAGGCTCGAAGAAGAATTAGATTTCGTCGAGAAATGCCTAAGGGAAAATGGATACCCTAGTGGATTTATTCAGAAGTACAGCAGAGAAAAAGATGAGAAAGAAAAGCATCCAACTGTAGAAAGAAAAAAGTGTTTATTTGTCTACCATACAAAGGAGATGCAGTGTCACAAAGGAATGACGAAAGATTGAAAGGTGCAATAAATAGAAGCTTCCGGCAGCAATACTCATAACACCATACAGCACCACTCCTTCTTTAATCCACTCAAAACTGGATAAATACCCTGCTGATGTCACCTCCAACTGCGTTTATGAATTCACGTGGACTTTCGGGAGCAAGTACATTGGAAGGACAGAAAGAAGGGCTTCTATCCGGTTTTCTGAACATATTCCCAAAAACATGTGCCTGAAAGGAAGCAGATATTCCCAGAGTGCAATTACCAGACACATTGTTGATACCGGACATCTCGTAAAGATTTCTAAGTCCTTCAAAATATTAAATAGACAAAGGACAGCAAATTTACTACGATTTCCCGAAGCGATCGCAATCGAACGACTTAAACCAGACTTATGCATAAAGAAAGAGAGTGTGATTAACCTCTCACTCCCTTGGTAACAGAAATTTGATTTTGACTAGTCATCTAATTCAGTGATCTCAACTCACTCAACAAATCTTAATCTCATAAACTGTAACCGTTTTTGTTTCTTGGGTTGCTATGTGAACCTACAAGCTAACACCGTTCTGTTAATCAAATTTTTCTGTTTTCTGTCTTACCCCTCCCCCTCTTTTCAACTTTAAAAGCGTATAAATTGATGATGAAAGCTTAAACTAAAAACATTGTAATGCTTTCATTTAGATGCGTCAATTTTATAGTATCTCTTTTCTACTACCACCCAAACATTAAAGTATGTTATTATCATCTATATAACCATTGTAATTTCAGGTAGTCTGCAGCTGATGAGAACCTGTGAAATAGAATATCATTTTATACTGCAAATTTCGTCTTCCTTTCTCTATCGAAAAAAAGTTGTGTGATTGACGTGATATGATTATGAGCGGCAATAGTTTGTGCTCGAAACGTGGTCATCAGTAAATATTACTGTATAACACCACTGTGTGATTTTATCAAAATAAAATCGTATTCACAATGCAGTTATACTCTACCACAGTGCCGAAGTTTTATACTTATATCAAATCTAAACTTCACATTAATTTACTATGATTTTGATAGGTGATTAACATGACTAACCACCAGACAGTGGGGGGCGAGTGCTACCGATAAGATTTATCCGTAGTATGTAGGGAGGCGTTCATCGGTAGAAAAACATCAATTAGCAGGGAGATACATCTGATTTCAGAGAAGGTAAATGATACAGAGGGCTTTGTGAAGATATATGGAAGACGTGAAAGGAACACAAAGAAACACAATATGAAGTTCAGAAGTACCACAACACGAAGATCTATGCAAATGGTGCGTTGAAGACAAGGTATACACAATTTGGCTATATAGAGATAATTTCCAAACAAACATTCCTTTACCAAGTCTCTGTTTTCTACCGTTTCAACATAATTAGCTGCTACTTCGGTTTGTAACAGATTGTTGGACAACACAATACTTAATATGAAGTTACCAAAATGACAACTCAGCATAGAGCTTCATACATAAGGTCCCCACCCCCCAACCCAATTTGGAAAAGTACATAAACTAATGAAAGTAGGGGCGTTATGATAATAAAACAAACATATAGGTATGCGAAGTAGGACATATCACAATAAGAGCTGAAAAACAATAAGATATTTATCGTATAGGCAGGAAATAAATACAGTTATGGCTAATCTTCTAAGCTACAAACGAATGGCCTAACGGAGAGAAACAACCGTACACTGAAGGAGTGGCTGGCCTCGAAGGGCGGTAACTGGGAAACGGAGCTTCTACTGATTTTATTAATGCATCATGCTACCACTCAGGAATCAACGAAGAAGTCACCCTTTCAACTGATTTATGGTAGAAAACCACGATTACCGATACACAACGAGACCTGGCCCCTTCACCAAAAGTGGAGTACGACGAAATTAAAAGCAGAGTGGAAAGAGGCAGTCAAGAATGTAATGCAGAAGCAGTGGAGTGATGTCGCGAAGTCTCGATTGAAAGGAAAGACTCAGTGCATTACCTTTGCAGTCGGGGACCAAGTCTGTCTGTCTGTTTTCGACATAGAACTTTGCACAAATGTGCGGAAGTTCAAGTCGCCACATTCCGTGTAGCACGCGAAGCAAGAGAAGAAAGTACAAGAAAAGCATAATAGAAACAGTGAGCAGAGGTGTGAGACAAAGGAGTAATAAAGAAAACCAAAACAGTTTCATTGGAAATCATAAATCACAAGGAGTGGATGCATCTGCGCTAGCCGCTGAGAACGATTTTGAGCCATGTCACCAATTGTTTCCAACCATAGATTTTTACCGTCCCGAGGACCCCAGCCTGGAAGTCTACACCTTCCTACGTGGCTTAGACCAACTGTTGTGGATTTCATTGACTGATGCCAAGTTTTTGTTTGACCGCCGCTAGCTTTTTTCCAGCCTGACCCTATATCCGCTAACATTGCTCGTCGAGGGAGGCGATGGCTTGGCATACGTAACACATGTCCTAACCATCTCAGTCGATGTAGCTTCACGACTTCGTCGATTGATTTCCCCTGTTTACCTAGAACTCTACGCCTAACCTCCATGTTGCTCACCTTATTATGCCACTTTACACGGGAAATAGAACGCAGGCACCTATGATCAAAGACAGCTAGTCTTTTCATGTCTTCCACTCTGAGTGGCCAGGTCTCACAACCATACAGGAGGACGGAGCGGACTGATGAGCAGTACACCCGGCCTTTGGTCGATAGTCGAACATCTCGTCTACGCCAGAGTCGGCGTAAACTAACAAATGCGAAACGAGCCCCTTGTATTCGTGCTGAGATTTCGTCAGAGATCAGCCCGTTGGGGCTGATGGTACTTCCCAAATAAGTGAAGCGGTCAACGTGCTCTACCACTTCACTTCCTATTTTTAAACTAGGCGTCTATGTAGTCCAGTCCTGTAACATCATCTTGCATTTGGCGGGAGCGAATCGCATGCCAAACATTCGTAGATTCGGGGACCAAGTGAAGTGTAGAGACAGAAGATATACAGTTGGATGCGGGCCAGGTTCACGGAAACTCCTTCCAAAGTGGGAAGGACCATACACAATCACAAAAAGACAGGGTCAAGTATATACCATCCGAAGAGGTGACAAACAGAAACGAGTTAACGCCAGTCAGCTCCATCGATGGGTACAGTGGGATAAGCCGATCAGTAACAATCCTCAACTAGAGGATGTAGCAGCCAGAAGGTCGGAACGTCTGCACACGAATCTATTTGACGGGGGGACGAGTGTGGTGAAAGCAGGCTGCTAGCCAATTGGTAGACATTAATTTACGTCAATGTCTAGGTCACTAATATTGGCTGTGAGAAAATATGAACAAGGCTGATTCAACGACCAATCACAGCAGACTTAACGTGGGCAAATACGAGTCGCAGATATGTGGCTTAACTTTCCGAGAAACCAGTTACCTTGAGCAAGAAACAAACAATCAGAAGACTGTGTTTGTCTGCTTGAATAAGCTATAATAATGTACATGAAATATATATAAATACGCGCTGATTTCCGTAATAAAACAACCTGTTGCCTGGCTCTTGTCTTCTGTTGTTACACACATACTAACAGTAAATAACGGATTGAAATCTACCTCTGTTTGCCACGATTTAAGTATTGAGGTACTTACCTTAAGTTGAGGGCACAGTAGTTGCAACTTGACACCTCATAAGAGGATCACAGTGTGAATGTCACGCTTTAATAAAAGGGAGTGTTAACGAGTACACGATGCGAAGAATGAATAAATATACAACAGAAGGTATTGTACTGAAAATCTATTCATCAAAAGGTTAACCAATTGAAGTTTATTTACACAAAAGTAAGACTACTATTCATAATCAAATCGGCATATATATAATATTTGTTTTATATACAAAAACAGAAGAGAAGACTATCATATGAAATATTATCATTTTAAACGCCAGTGTTCTAATGCAACACAATCTTCATCTGTACTAGAACGCTGTCTTTTTGTACCATCTGCAAGTGTTGCTGATATTGTTCTTTCTTCCTCAGCCACACTCTTAACCAGTCGACCTTTGTATGGTCCTAAAAGTGTAGCTTCTGCCTCAAAAATTGAAATCCCCTTCGTATTGATCATGAATTTATCCGTTAGCTCTGGATTTTTTAACCGAATCCGTACTAAACTCCCACGAGGATAAAACTGATTATCTGGTTGAGGACAGACACAGTGAAACTTTCCACCGAAATCTATGTAAAGATCTGTATCGTTTACATTGTCTATTACAACACCGACTAGCTGGAGAAATAAAACAAAAGATTGAACAGGAATGTTCTATAGTAAAAGGAGATATGTCAAGTAAAACATAAAATTTTACACGCTATCATTCCTAAATGCTATCACCGATACATAGGCATTTTATGTTTGTAAAATGATGCCTCAGGACTGTTCTGCACCGACTTCCAGTTTCAAGACAGGGAGTAAAGTGGTAGATTAGAGTGTTGACTACTCTACTCATTTGGGAAGTTGCATCAGCTTCAATGAATAGAGTGCTGTTTGCGTTTTGTCTCTCGACTTAAGCGGTGTCTAATGTGGTGAGTAATTTTGAGTTTAGGCAGTGTGTCCTGTAAGGAGGACAAGCCAATCAATGAAGTTGTGTAGCTACACTGACTGAGATGGCTAGGACACCTGTGGTTTACGCGTGTCAAGCCATCACCGTCCTTGTCCAGCAATGTTAGCTGACATACGATTAAGTTTGGTAAGAGTTAGGAATTGCGAAATCCATAGTCTTTGACTGTTGCTTTGGAGGCGTAGACTGTTTAACTGGCTTCCTCAAAATGCTCAGAACCAATGGCTGGATATTATTGATAAAAAGGCTCAAAATCCTTCCAAATGGTGCAGATGCATTCATTCTATGTGAACTCATAATCGCATTATATACTTATTATTCCCGATAGATTTATTTTTTTTCTCCCATACATTTCCCCTTATTGTAGTTCTTTTGAATTATTTTTTTTCCATCTTTTTGTGTTATAAGGAGCGTGGTAACTTCAACCATTACATGTCTGTGTGCAAAGTTCCGCATTGAAACCTCAGTCAGTCATAGGCATTTATTAACAGAATATAACAACCACTTGGATTCCCATGCAGTTGTAAAAACAGCCACACCTATTATGTAAAGGTCAGTGACGTCACCTGGGTACTCCCAAACTTCGGTAGGTGGATTGGGACTCGAATCCTGTAGTTAGAAGTCTAGAACTTAAACACCAGTCAACACCTTTTAACTGATAGCTTCTTTTACCTATGAGGGAGGAGATAAGATGGAGGAGCAAATCGTAACTTCATGAGTCATCAATATATCTTGCACACACACACACACTATGTTTAACCTCCACGCTAACAAATGCACATGATTATTCAAATGTATTGACGAACACACATACAGTGGCCTCAAGTTGTCTTTTGTAATATCCGTACACGATGGCTGTAGAAAAGAACACAACTGTGTCTGAACTTAACCTACTGATACTAGTATGGATATCTCCTAAACTCAATAAGTGGCAGTATCCAGGATGTTTGCCGGTGTTCGATCAAGAAGCGTTAGTACCATTACAGAAGTAAATTATGCGGTAAACCAAACTACTTTAATTACTATTGTGAAACAAATAATTTAGATAGCTTCCTGAAGATTAATTTGGGTTACGTAATACTGAATATTGCACGATGCTATGTACTACTGATAAATACTGAGTAGCTAAAAATCGCTCACGTCGATCAAGAGTGCTTGCTAACCCGACCGAAAGCTGCTACCTTGACGTGGTGGTCGGGATTGAACACCGCAATGACCTAATCAAGCTATACTGGCTGAGACTTATGTCTCTTGAGGTTCTACCATGCCAGGCAGGTTGTTTGGATAGCGGTTAAACAAAAAGCAGCTACCCAATCCAATACCATGATTCAAACAAATGCACAAAATTTCATGCCGGATCGGCCGTGGCCCGGATTAACAACGACCGCGCTTCCTGCTGCCGTGTCACAGGGCAGAAGTGATAAATATGCTACTGACACACACCAAACAATAAAGAACAAACAAAAACAGGCCGCGTGTGACCGGCCTCAAGCAGTTGTCCCCTGGGCTCTGCGGTCACGCAACCAACTTCCACGGTGTGGGCAGCCGGGAAGTAACAATCGCCCTCACAATCCGAAATGCACACAAAACCTCTCTAATCCTCACTCATACTTGTCTTCATCTTCGTCTCTACTATTTTGCCTTCCTCCTCCACTGATGCAACTCCTCTACTTGATGGCTCTTCACTTCCTCTTCACTCTGTGTCCACTAAAAACGACGGAAGCCAAAAAACCACCACCGATAGTCTCCTAAAGCCACGCCACCAATTTCATATAGGAGCATTTAATGTTAGGACACTTTGCCAAATAGGACAACAAGCATCACTAGCTAAGACCCTGGCATCCCGAGCCATTGATGTATGTTGTGTTTCAGAAACACGCATACAAGACCCAAGTGTGGTTATTCACCTAACCCCACCTGGCCAACAGGATGAATCTTCAAAATTCACCTTGAGGGTGTCAGGAGATGCCACAGCTAGTTCACGAGGATTAGCTGGCGTAGGGATAGCTTTGAGTACTAGGGCAGAAAAGACATTGCTTGACTGGATCCCGGTAGATAGCCGAATGTGTGCTGTCCGTCTGAACGGATCAGTAAGAAGGAGAAAGGACTGCACTACTCGCCGATGCCTTTTCGTAATCTCCGCCTACGCCCCCACTGACTGCAGTTCGGATGAAACGAAGGATGAGTTCTACCAAAAGCTGTCTAGTTTGGTGAGAAAGGCTAAACGCTCAGATATAGTCGTTCTAGCTGGTGACTTTAATGCTCAAGTAGGGAAATTGTGTCAATCTGAGAAGGATGTCGGTGGCACCTATGGAGTTCCGTGCCAGCGAACCGACAACGGTGACCGTCTCCTACAGTTCTGTTCTGATAATCATTTGTTTCTTGTAAGCACTAACTTTAAACACAAAGAGAGACACTGTTTAACCTGGCGACCCCCATCATCAAACCAACGCTGGACACAAATAGACCACATAGCAATAAGCTATCGTTGGCGTGGGTCGGTAGGAGATTGTCGCTCCTTCTGGAACACGTGTGTAGATACCGATCACGCACTGGTCCGGGCTCGTGTGTGCTTACGACTGAACGGACGTAGGAAACAGCTGGCGGTAAAACCATCACGTCCCCAGCTCGATCAGGAAACTAAATCCCTATTTGAGGAAGAACTAGCTAAACGCATATCTGAGTTCGACAGCTGTGCTCACCCTGGAGAAGCCTGGAAGAATATTCAGTCAGCTATAGATACAGCTGTAAAAGCTGTGAATAAGGCAAATCCAAAGGTGAGTAAAAACCACTGGATTTCGACTGCCTCATCCGAACTGATAGATGCTAGAAGACTTATTCCGGCGAGCTCCGAATTCAATGAGGAGCGAAAGCTGCACAAAAGGAAACTTACTAAAAGTCTCCGCAAGGACCGTGAACAGTGGTGGCTGACAAAGGCAAAAGAGATGGAAAAAGCATCGGCGATAGGCAACACTAGGCAACTCTTTAGACTCATCAGGGAAACGGGTGGGAGAAGGCAAACCATAAGTGAGACTATTTCTGAGAAAAATGGCTCCTTAATTAGCTCTCAGGATAGACGCCTTGAACGCTGGAAAGAACACTTTGAGGGACAATTTAACTTGCCTACAGCCACACTGAACCTCCCCGACATCCAGCACACACCCGAATGGGATATAGACACTGGTCCGCCGTCTGTAAGTGAGGTCACAAAAGCTATCAGTAATTTGAAACGAGGCAAAGCGGCAGGACCCGACGGAATTATTCCGGAGGTGTTTAAATATGGGGGTGACATACTAGTTTGTAGATTAACTGAGGTACTAGGCAAAGTCTGGGAATCAGAGACAGTGCCATCAGACTGGGGTAAGTCACTTATTATACCGATATTCAAGAAGGGAAACAAGTCCTCGTGTGATAATCATAGGGGGATCAGCCTAACGAACATAGTCTCTAAAATCCTAGGCTCAGTAATCATGCATAGACTAAGCAGAACTCGGGAGGAACAGACAAGGGAAAATCAAGCAGGCTTTAGACCAGGTAGAGGGTGCATAGATCATATCTTCACTCTTCGACAGATTCTAGAACATAGACACACTTTTCGGCGTCCAACAATTGTCATATTTCTTGACTTGAAGGCGGCCTTCGACTCCGTGGATCGAAAGGTACTATGGCAATGTCTGACTGTGAAGGGAGTGCCAAGAAAGTACATTGCACTAATCAAGGCACTCTATTCAAACTCACGTAGTCGTGTAAGGGCTTATGGGGAATTGTCATCTGAATTGGTAACAACCAGTGGTGTCCGACAGGGATGTCCACTTTCCCCATTTCTGTTTAACTTCATCATAGATATGCTGATGGAAGTATCCTTAACTGAACGTAACGACTTAGGAATCGACTTGTTACCAGGGAATAGTCTTATGGACTTAGAATATGCAGATGACATAGTCCTGTTAGGGGAGGATGCTGACAAAATGCAGAGTCTTCTGAACACCTTGAGCAGCAATCTTCGTATGTTTGGCATGCGATTCGCCCCTACAAAATGTAAGATGCTGCTACAGGACTGGACCACGTCAACCCCTAACTTAGTGATAGGGAGTGAAGTGATAGAACATGTTGACCACTTCACCTATTTGGGAAGTTGTATTAGCACCAACGGACTGATTGGCGATGAAATCTCAGCACGGATCCGAAAAGCTCGAGCTGCTTTCGCTGACTTACACCATCTCTGGCGTAGGCGTGACATCCGGTTATCAACCAAGGGACGTGTGTACTGCTCATCAGTTCGCTCCGTCCTTCTCTATGGCTCTGAAACATGGCCAATACGCGTTGAAGACATGAAAAGGTTGACTGCTTTCGATCATAGATGTCTGCGATCTCTGTCTCACGTTAGGTGGTTTAATAAGGTAAGTAATGTTGACGTTAGGCGTAGAGTGTTGGGCAAAGAGGGAAAATCAATCGACGAGGCTATAAAGTTACATAGACTAAGATGGCTAGGTCACGTGCTGCGCATGCCTAACCACCGCCTCCCCCGACGGGCATTACTAGCTGATATAGGTGGAGGTTGGAAAAGAGTAAGTGGTGGCCAAACAAAAACATGGCCTCATCAATCCATGAAATCCTTGACAGTTAAACTGAGTCAGTCAGGTAGGGAGATGCAGACTTCCGGGTTGGGGCCCTCGGGACTCTAGGAATCAATGGCTGGAGACAATAGGTGACATGGCTCAAAATCGTTGTCAATGGCCAGCGCAGATGTATTCAGTCTCTGTAATCTTTCATATTCCTTTCTACCATTACCTATTCTGTTTCACTCTTATACTTGTCAAACTCTATTGATTCTCTTCACTCATCTTCTTGTCTACCTCTGTGTGCTATTTGGAACGTGGCAACTCGAACTGCTGCACTTCGGTGCCAAGTTCTATGTTGAATCCAGACAGAGACAGACAAACAGACTTGCTAACCAGATTGAAGTGATCCGAAAACATCGGATGGCCGTCCCGCTCATTTTAGATCAAACTCATAAGTGGCGTATCAGATATGACTGAGAACTGAGTCAGTTAGAACCATCCGAACTCTGACTAGCTACCTGGGGGAACTGGTAATACACAGAATCCAATGCGGTGGGAATGCTCCCTAGATTGCCATTTATAGTGTTAAGCAGACCGTATAATGTAATCTAAAGTTCTTTTAGATCTTCCAAGGAAACCGTGGTGAATTTTCACTTCTAACTGTGTAATTTACAAAGAGTGGATTTAATTTGACACATAACACTGTTTTACTATTTATTGCCAACATCTTGTAATCAGTATTACAATGCAACTGTGTCAAACTTCTATACATACACTGCCTGTCTGTCTGTCTGTTTTCGACATAGAACTATGCACAAATGTGCGGAAGTTCAAGTCGCCACATTCCGTGTAGCACGCGAAGCAAGAGAAGAAAGTACGAGAAAAGCATAATAGAAACAGTGAGCAGAGGTGTGAGACAAAGGAGTAATAAAGAAATACATACACTGCAATACGGGGGGGGCGTTTCAAATTCGAATAATTTTCCAAGGGTTTTATGTCATGAACATTGGTTAGACATCAAGTGATTAACAATAAAATCAAATCGTTTTTGATGACTACAGCAAAATTTCATCTTCTAGAAATCAAAAAGAAACCAACCCAATTAACAGTGCTGAGTGAAAGACGTTAAATGTAAAGCATTCTGATATCAGCAGCTGCACAAAAATATAAACAACTTCCCTTTTTCCCTGACCCCACCCAAAAATTAATGCCTACAGCTTTTACTTTCACCAAACACATGGCTCCCGGCCGATAACTGCTACCTTGTCGTGGTGGTCGGACTTGAATACCGTGATGACCCAACATGCTAAATTGACTGGGACTCTGTCCGTGCAGGTCCTACCATATCAGGAAGGTTGTTTGGATAGCGGTTGAACTTAAAGCAGTTACCATGGGGTACATGGGCTCCAGTATCCAATCGGATCAAATGGCGTATGAACCCATATGGATCACCGGAAACCATGGGAATGCAGCTCCTGACGCTGCTCCGCTGCCTTGCAGATTAGACTCCAAGTCAAAGGCTCGGGGTGTGGTCCCTTAATAAAACCACCTGCTTCGTTCTGGGCTCCCTGTCAGTATCTCAGCACTCACACAATGAATTGAATGAAGCAACAAACAATCAATGAAACTTATCGCGAGCTATTACACGTGTTGCAATTTCCTTTTTTCTTCCCTTCCCGACGATAGTTAACGAATACCGTTTGAACTTGTTAAGCATGACTGTTTTCCTTCCAGATGAAGTTCTTTATCCGTTCTCTACATAGATAGGAATGAATATATGTTATTATATATATATATATATATATATATATATATATATATATATATATATATATATTTCTCTTCTTTCTTTTGATCTATGTTGTTTTATTATTATTGTGTGGTGCATCCTTCTTGGTGCCATATTGTACCAAGTTTTTAATCGTTTAAATAAAATAAATAAATAAAAACATGGTTTTAATTTAAAAGTTCAATAACAACTTATATAAAATTTACTGACTTGGAATCATAAACCTACCTCACGAGACTTAAAATCTCCAAGTTGAATAAAGGGACTATAACGTAACAGGGTATCAAACGACTTTTCTGAACTCTTAGAACGTTCAGAAATTAATTTTGAAATATTCATTTCTTTCAATAGTGTACTCATTGTCCATGGAACGAATGAAAGTGAACTAGCTTTCTTTCTTCCTTGTTCCTCCGCCTAAGCGTACAATTAAAGAAATGATAATTGCGTGAAACATACTGTATCAGAATTTGATTGACCGGTGGAGTTGAGTTGTGACGTTCCAGTGGTATCAGTCTCCACACTTTCATCTTGTTTGGTAACGCGAACTTCATTGTTGCTTGGGAGAGATTTATTTTCAACCACAGATTTCTCAGCCTTTTTAAAAAATTCAATCAACTTTTCTGCATCAGAAATTGCTTCTTTGCTGTCTGGTGAGTTGGTGTAAGAGCAAAGAAATTTTTGGCATGGTGTGTAACTTTTAGAATGGAAGAATTTGATTGTGTGATTCAGCAGATGGATTCTATACGGAGATAATTCAAAAACGATTAGACCTTTATCAAGTAAATGTTCACCATGTAAACGATCTATGTGCATTAAATACCACTAGCAACAGTCTAGCATAACTAACTTGAAATGCATACGTGTTTCTTATCAAAGAGAATCTAACTAATAACGTTTTCCGTCCTTGATAGCAACCATAGATACTTTCTATAGGGAGATAGATATGACATAAATTACGCAATATTATACACATATGCCCTAACTACCCTCTGTTGCCATTTAGCATAACAATATTTCTCAGTTATCCCTCTCAGGCAGTATCCTGATAATTTCAATACCAATGACGAAGTATCATCACCGCCAACAAGTATTGCTATTGATCCCGTCACTGCTTGTCTTTCCTCTCCTTCTTTCCACTTATTTAGACTATTAGTGGCATCAAAAATCCTACTGCTTTAAAACCTGCTTTCCCTGAGGCGCCCGTTTCAGTTTCAGACCAATGAATTATATATATATATATATATATATATATATATATATATATATAATGATATACCCTAGTAACAATTCCACTACATAAACTGACAAAGTTAAAGTATTACAGACAAAGCCGGGGTTTTTCAAAAGTTGACCTCCACGGAGCAACCAGATACAGGGAATGCTATGAGAATTCATTCCAAATCAAAGTCATGCCTCCCTTTTTGGACTTGGGGGAAGTAGATACAGTATTCTATTTATTCTCTGGATACTATACCTGTAAATCCACACTGTCAGGTAGGGTAATGGCTTTTTAGATTAAGGTTTGGGGTCTACTTTAAGGTTAAGATTGGAATTAAGGTTAGAATTATGGCTAGGAGAAGGTGAAAGAAGAGAACCAGAAATACCAGTACGTCTCGAAGTGCAATGACTTACAGTCACCTGGATGCATGCATTTATCGCGCACGGTATCATTTCTCTATACATCATCTTTGTGGTGACTGGGAGACATTCTTACAACCCGGGTTATGCTATGGCCATAGCCGACATTTTTTAAGTGTAGTATGTTTTCAGTGTGCTTTAGCGCATTTTTCAACAATTATGCGAATTTTTTACATCTAAATGCTGAATAGTAGTTTAAGGTCACTGAAGTTTTGGCTGTGATTGCCTAACTTTGCCCATAAACTGTCTAGTAAAGTTGGTACCCACATATATTCACAACCAAATTTTACATAGAGTCATAAAGTCTTCCTTTTATTATCATTACACGAAAGTGGTCTCCTGATATTATAAACATAACTGATTATTAGACCACTTAGCAGATACTGTTCTTGATGGGGACAAAATTATTTAGCAAAATCATATAAAGCTTGCATTCAGTAAGTCTGTTGAACGAAAAACTGTCCGAGAAGTTATTGTGGACAATTTCCGCTAATTTGAAGCCAGGGAACTAATTCAACTGAATTAAAACACAAGAACAGCGTACCTTCTCAGGGTCATTTCAGTAGCGTACGGAATCAAAAGCCCACGAACATTAAATTTAAGTGACATCCAATATCCAATATCGTTTTTACGAGCTAGTATAAACCAATTTGATTTCTTTGTGCTCGCTTCTTGATTGTGAGGTATAGGTTCTTGATCTTCGGTAAACTTCTGCGTAGCTTGTCCCGCCACTCGACTGTCGTAGCTTTGGTTGACTCCAAAGGGAGTAGTGCTGGGATTAATTATATGTGGTTTGTAGTATGAGGTATGTTAAGACTGTTACTACTGTGATTGGAGTTGATCCTTTCGCCAGTTAGTCCTTCGGTATTGTCGACAAGAGAAAAGAGATAGTAATAATAATAATAATAGTAATAATAATAATAGATATAATTAGTGAAGCTATTCAGACTAAGAGACAGAAACGAAAATAGGAAACGTAACAACAGTCAGCTCATTAAGTTTGAAGAATAATATATATATCGGTAATAGTAATAATAATAATAGTAATTATAATATTAATAAGTTGTCAGGAGAGTAAGACGGGAGAGAATGTAAAGAAGTAAAATGACGAGTTTAATTATCTACCCTGATTGGTAAATGCGATTTTAAGGAGATAGGCCATTTGGATGCAGTCCTTGTATCGCTGCATGGTTGTCCAGCCTTCGCTTAAAGGCGTCCAAAGACGGTGCCATAGCTACATCTGCCGGTAAGGAATTCCAGGGACGACAAACCCGCAGTGAAAAGAAGTGGGAGCGCACCCGGGTCCTTGCCCTCTGGTGAGCTATCCTTCTGGGATTTCCACGTGGAAGCCTATACCTACTCAATGGCAGAACACCTTTGTTTGGGTGATTCTGGTCATTTGTTATTTTGTAGGCAGTAATCAAATCCCCCCTAAGCCGACGGTAACTAAGTGTGAACAGGCCTAATTTCTTCAGCCTTTCATCATATGGTTTGTTTCGGAGACCAACCACTCCTTTTGTTGCCCGTCGTTGGACTCTTTCCAAGAGGTTGGCATCTCTTCTCAGCATTGGGGGTGCAATAATATTATGCACCTCAAGGTGTGGCCTGACGTATGTTTTGTACAACATTAGAAAGAGCTCAGGAGTGAGTGCACCTAACTGTCTATGCGTAAAGTGTATGACCGCATATGCCCTCGCTACATCCCCTGTGTAATTTACGCTTGTGTCCATTTTTTCCGTTAGAACTAGACCTAAGTCGCGTTCCGACGTTGTGCAGGACAAGCTTTCATTGCACAGGGTGTAACTTGCATTCTGCAGTCTACAGGTGCGCAACTTCACTACTTTGCACTTTTTCAAGTTGAAAGTCATGCCACTGGCCACCGCCCAGTCTTCCAGAAGGTTTAGGTCTTCCTGTAGCCTATCTGAGTCCTCCGGACACTTTATCGCCCTCCATATTTTTACGTCGTCAGCGTACAGGAGAGTCGGGCAGCTCAGACGGCGTGGTAGATCATTGATGAAAATCAAAAACATCAGTGGTCCTAGGATAGAACCCTGCGACACTCCTGATGACGATCTGTGCCAAGATGATCGGACTCGGTTAACCTTAGTGCAAAATTGCCTGTCGGCTAGGTAGTCCTTCAACCATGACAGAAGTGGCTCACCTATGCCTGCCTGTCTTATTTTATGTAGGAGAAGGTCATGGTGAACAGTGTCAAATGCCTTCTCAAAGTCTAGGAAGACCACATGGACTGGTACGTTCAAGTCCCAGCATGATGTCCAGTCGTCCCAAGCTGACAGTAGGTTAGTGACGCAGGATCTGCCTTTTCTGAAACCATGTTGGGCTTCATGTAGTATATTAGTCCTATCGAAATATTCCCTGATGTGGTCGTCAATAATACTTTCCAGTACTTTTGATACCACTGGGAGTAGAGCTACTGGTCTATAGCTAGCAGCGTTTTGCCTGTCCCCACCCTTGAAGATTGGAGAAAGGATGGCTCTTTTCCACTCCCTTGGCAGGGTCCCCGAATCCATTGAGTGTTGGAACAAGTCGCACAGGGGTCTACAGAGAGCCTCGGCGCACTGTTTCAGAACAGATGGCCTGATGTCATCACAACCTGGGGACTTCCCAGGTATGAGTCGCTGTAGCTTCCTTAGTACTATTGCGGGGTTTATTTGGGGAGTAGTCGCTAGGTCTTCCTCCTCTGAAATAGTGGTGCCACCATTTTGGTCCGTAACTGTAATATCCACATTGCTGTTTAGCTGTTTAGCGAAGGCTGAACTGAATGTTTCAGCCATCTCCAGACTAGTGAGATATTGACCGTTTGGGCCTACTAAGGCGCATGCCCCTTGGTTTGTCGGTTTTCTTTCCGACATGAATCGGTACAAGTTTTTAGGGTTTGATAGGAGTTTTTTAGCAAGGTTAGCCTGGAATGACCTTCTGTCCCTCCTAACTCTTGCATTACACCGGTTCCTGAGTTCGAGGTATGCATCATGGTCGGTCTGACTCTTAGATACACGCCACGTAAACCAAGCCTTCCGCTTTGCTTGCAGAATACGTTGCGTGCCTCTCTTCAACCATGACGTCTTTCTCTTAGGCTGTGTTGTGACTAAAGGGACGGTATCCGAGATTGCTGTATGGATAATCTTTTTTACCACTTCCCAGTGTTCATCCACAGATAGGTCGTCCCATGCTAAGGGCCAGTCTGCGTCGGACAAGAGCCTCCGCATTTCAGCATAGTCAGCCTTGCTGTAGCACAGACATGGTCGCGTAACATCCCATTGCAAACGCTCACGGAGGACAAGATCGAAACCTATGACTGCATGGTCACTGCTTCCCAGAGGAGTCATGATCTGGACCTTTTCGACGAGTAGCTGGTCACTAGTTAGAATATAATCTAGTTTTGATGACTTTCCACTAGGGCCCCACCTAGTGTCGTCTCCAACATTCTCAGTCAGTCCCGTGTTTCGAATAGTTTGCAGTAGGTTTCGGCCAAATTTTCCCTTAGCACACCCGGAGCCAAGGTTCAGTGATGGAGCATTGAAATCTCCAGCTATGGTGATTTGGTCGTAGCCCAAATCTCGTATTCCTGTGATAGTGCTGAGCAGTAGCTGATTGTGCTCTGCCCCACAGGTGGGAGATCGGTAGATGCCACCCAGTAAGTGCTTGGTGTGGCCTACGGTGAAATGACACCATATGGAGTCTGGGAGTTCGATAAGTGGTGGGTCCGTTGCGCGCACACATTTAAGTTGCCTATCAAAGTATATAGCAACTCCCCCTCCTTCCTTATTATCCCTGTCTCTTCTGACCAGTACCATATCACCTATACTGATTTCATTGTCGGCGATAGTGGGGTTTAGCCACGTTTCAGTAAGAATGATTATTTTCAGTTGAAGGTGTGCTTGGAGATTTCGGAGTTCACCTACTTTCCCTCTCAGCCCCCTCACATTGCTATATAGGCAACTGACAGTGAGTCTAACAACCTCAGAGTGTTGTGGGGTAGTTGACGTGAAACCGTCTGCTGGTGGGGGACTTGATGTTGGAACTAGTTGGCCGATTCCGATAGAACCGGCCCGTTGTAGTTTTTTTCAATGGATTTAGGCAGGACACTTGGGAGACACAGACTATTATTCTCAGAGCTGCATCGCTCTAGTGTCACCGAAGCTTGGGGTCGTATTAAAGCCTCAGTTTGCTGCCTCCTTATATTTCTGGGTCTGCTTTCACAGCATCGGATGTGTCCTCCAATTTTTCCCTTGGTCTCATACCACCGTTGAAGTGATATGGACAACTGCTCCGGGGAGTTGAATGTGACACACAGCAGCTTTGGAGAGTTAATCAATGTTAGATGAGCGGGACGAGGTAGTCGGAAAATGGAGATGGCTCCAGAAGCGCCAGGGGCCATCTGAGATGACAGCCATCTCCATTGTTGTACGTCGTGCATGTGTTTTTCACAAGCAGTGCCGGTTTCCAGCTCCGGAACACCGTGTACCACCATAGAGGTGGAAGGCATCAGTTCCGGTGACTCCCTCGCCATATTTCTGACGGCCCATGGTCTATCTTGCCGCGCTCTTATGTTAGAACTTCTGTCCAGGGCTAGTACCTGAGCCATTAACAGTACTTTTTCGGCCTCTTCGGCAGAGTCCAGTGTAACCCGTAATGGGGGTGGCTTACCCTGAGGCGTGTGGACACCCCTGTACAGTCTGCACAGTTTTGCTGAACTAATGTTCAGACCTAGTTTGCTGCACAGGTTGGACCACTGTTCCTGATCAAACAGGGCCCGTTGTTCGAGCAAGCTATCCGTGCTCACAGGTACGTTAAAGAGGATGAGAGAGTTAGACCGACTACCCTCAGACTTAGGTTTTGCCTTCGGCTTCTTGCAGTCCTTTGCATCATTAGCAACATTAGGCTTCATCGGTACCTGGACAGCCTTTTTTGTGTTGCCAGGCTTGCTAGTGGATGCAAGTGGTGCCTTTGTAATTTTGCCTTCCCCTGATGTGGATGGAACCTTGCTAATCTTCACCTTGTGAGAATTGGCATTTCCAGTCAGTAGGGCTGGTGTGTCCTTCTTTAAGTCTTTGACCAGTTTCGGCAGTGCGAGTTTAGCAGGGGGAGCTGCATGATACTGTGTTGGGGCACAAGAGCGTGTTATTTCTGCTATCCGCAGACACGCTTTGTGGGACTATGCCAGGGCGACAAAGTGGACACACGTACCAAAACCATGGGCATGGGTTATTTCTCATAAACTCATAGTATGCTTTCGGTACTTCTTTGTCACAACGGCAGTGCACCCATCGTTTGCAAAAATTACATTCAAACGCTGAATCAGTTTTAGAAACTGTGATGCTGCACGCCTGGCATTCATCCCCTTTCCTTGATGACGCCTTCGAGGTCTTATGACGTCTTGAACGTTTCCTTTTAGGCTTGATGTGTTTCACACACTGGCCTACAGTTGATGCAGGTGTAGAATTCTGTCCTTCTGGTATTGCCTGTGCCGTTTCAGTACTAGACTGTGGCAATGCAGGCGTTGTATCAGGGCAGACTAAAGCTACACGAGTCTTTAG